AACTTTACAAATGCATCATGATGATGGAAACTCTTTAGTTGCCCCTGGTGCGGACTCAACAAATTTAAACACTGGTTGGAAGGGAGAAGTTATCCACTACCTTGAACATAAATTGGATAAAAAACTAATATGGATAATTTGTGCTCTACAAAAAAATAAACTACCTCTCCGGAAAAACTGCTTCAAAAAATAACTTTTCTGGTTCTATTGGAAAACTTATAGATAAAGTTACTAGCTTCAAAGTCAAAGATAACATAATATAAATTGAATTTCCTAATGCAATAAAAGATCTTGACTCTGAAGTTGTAAATTTGCTTTCAGATGACCAAAAGTATTTTTTATCAAATTACCCATGGAATTAACGCAGGAGTTTTTCCGGACAATCTTAAAAGCAAAGAAATTAGTCCACTTTTGCATGCAATATGGTTGAATTTAGAAAATACAATATCTTTACTTTAGTGCTCAGAAATCTTTCAATTGAAAAAAAATCTTTAACTTCTAGTGGAGTTCATTGTTTGAGTTTATGCGCAACTTTAGTTTGACATGCGCCACTTTGGTTTGAGTAAAGTGGAATTGGACTGAAGGGTATAACCATATACTCAAACAATTAAAACTTCTTTGTCATTAAAGACTTAAAGTTAAAGACATTTTAATGCCCTATATTTTTTCATCTTCATGGAAGCTTATAGTGAAATTGTTCTTCAATCATTGTTTTGTAGTCTAGAAAAAACAGAAAGAGAATTTGCAGTTGAAACAATTTTAAAATTGAGAGGATATTCAGAATACGGAAACACTAATGTAAGAAGTAGAAAACATCATATACATGATGAAAACGCTGATTCACTTTTTGATCTAATTAACTGGAGTTTGGACGTACTCGAATCTTTACTTACATGTTTATCGTCAAAGGATTTTAAATACAATGATGCTCCTTAAAAAAATACAATGATACCCCGATGTATGTACCTTGTTTTTCTGTTCATGGGCAAGCTATTAAAAGATGTGTCCAAGAAGGACAATGTCTTGCCCATCTTCAAAACTTGCAAGGATGCATATAATGAAGCGTCTATTGGTTTGACTTTTTTTAATTTGTTTAACTAATGAATCAATTTTGTCTTTTAGTGCTTTTTCTCTTACTTCATCAAATAATTTCACATCCTCCAGTGCAACAAGCTGCCTTGATTGTCAGAGGGATATGTTTTAGTAACTTCTCAGGAGAGTTGCGTTTGAATCCTTTATATATATTGTTGCATTGAATGCGTTAGTAGCTATTTCTTAGATATTTTATTTTATGTATGTTTATTACGTGTTTTAAATAATATATATATATATATATATATATATATATATATATATATATATATATATATATATATATATATATATATATATATATATATATATATATATATATATATATATATATATATATATATATATATATATATATATATATATATATCTACTATAGCATATTTATATGCGCAATTGCTCACTTTTTTTGCTAGCTTAAATTAAGTTAGCGTTTTTAGAAAACGATAAGGGCAAACAAAGAATAATGAATGAAAAGGTTGCCGACCCATACCAAACCCACAGTCGATGTAGCAGCACTCCACTGCGAGTCAGGTTATTTGTCAGTCGATGTATGTACTGAAGCCCCCAGCAGCAGGCTATTTGACGTTAGGTGAGTATGACATCATCATGCTCACCTAGCTCAACAGTATAAGATATATATGTATATATATCTTATACTGTTAAATTCCACGTAAAAGAGGAAAAAAAAAAAAAATGTTACACCAACATATAGTGATCTCAATGAACTTATTTTTCAACTATTTGAGAATATCTTTAAGAAAAAAATTATAAAAAAAAAATCTTTTTATCATACCTTAACATAGTTATAAAGTTGTAAGGGTTATATAAACATTTTTCAACGTTTATATACAGCCCTGTTGTGAAATGTTGAAAAAGGTTTCAGTGCTGCTTTGTAAATAACTATTATTTCTAAGCTTAAATTAAAGGATAAATTAAACATTATTTATAATATTTTTAAATAAAAACGCACTCTAACTAGGTCTATAAGAAAATATATTTATGAAAACAATACATTACGACCGTCACGAAAAAAAGTCTAAATGTTTTTTCTATGCTTCGTATCAAACTTTTTAAAACTACAACTATGGTTAAAGTAAAGATAATAATACAAATTTTATTATTGTTTAAATTTTTTTTTTATAGTGCTTTAGATCCCGTTTTCAAAACGTTATTAGGCACGTTACGACCATCACGACATGTTTGTTTTTCCAAAACGGCTTCTTGACTTTATATAAAGTTTAAGCGCAAACGATTATATTATCTAAACCAAGTTAAAAACGATTTTATTATTTAAACCATAGTCATAGTATACAGGAGAATAAAAGGGCATTAAGCATTTTTTTCTTAATCCAAATAAAAGTAATATGATCATACCCAGTCATCATTATCATACCCAGTCATCGTCATACCTGGGTATCACTATACCCATTATAAATGCAATGTTATCCCAGTGATAATGTTATAAAGTGTATATTTTAACATAACTTACTTGGTTTTTATAATCACTCATCTTTTTTACGCCATTCATTGCAAATGCGCCATGCATTCAGTTGTTTTTCACTATTAGCATTTTCGTTACGACCGTCACGGTTACGACCGTCACGACAAAAAATACAATAAAATTCTTGTAAAACATTAAGAAAAAAATATAAAATTTGGCATATAGCAAGATTATTATGTAGTGAATGCACACAGCAAAGGATTTTTTTTTTCACCGCGTAGATGACTGCATAAAGATTGTCAAAGCCGATTTTTTTAGAATTGTCAAAAAGTAAGCGTTACGACAGTCACACTATGTTAAGACGAATTTTCAAATAAGTTGAAAATTTCAATACTTTAAATTTTGTATAGCAAATTATATAATAGTATTTAACATTTCTAAGAATATTCAAATCAATATCATTCTTATTTGACTTTTAATAACTAAAAAAGTATCAAATGTTACGACCGTCATATGCGTGGAATTGCCCATATATATATATATATATATATATATATATATATATATATATATATATATATATATATATATATATATATATATATATATATATATATATATATATATATATATATATATATATATATATATATATATATATATATATATATATATATATATATATATATATATATATATATATATATATATATATATATATGCAATTTTCAGTTATCTTGACAGGCATTTTTTTTAAAAAGTTACGATCTTTTAAATGTCTTTTAAACGTCTTTTAAACATTATTGTTTAAAAGACGTTTAAAAGACATTTAAAACACATTTAGAGCGTAACTTTTAAAAATAAATGCCCGTTGGGATGGTGCACACTGCATTTTATTTACATTTGCGCACATCTTAAATTTGTTGTATAAACCTGGTTGCTTTGTTTAAAGTCTGAAAACATCATCCTAGAGCAAGACCAAAATTAAGCAACAAAGACAATATCAACACTCAAACACTTGTCCTATGAAGTTTGGTTCAAACGGCTAAACTTAGAAACACTTGAGGAACGCCGCAAAAAGGTTAATGCATGATTTTTGAAATTGCTACTCGAGCAATTTTAAATCATGCATTAACCCGTGCGCAAGTGTAATCAACTCAAACTTATCAACTTCTTTGTCCCTCAAAAATATTTAAATAGAAAAATCAAATGTACTCTGAGAGGATATAACTATAAACTAGAACGCCTACTAATGAGAAATTGTAAAATACGAAATATTATTTTTTTAAATAATGTTGTTGCTCTATGGGATGCGCTTTTGCAAGCAGCATTGAACGCTCCATTGGTCAACACTTTCGAAGAAAGCATAAAAAGTAACCTTTACTTGAGGGTTTGAGGGGCCTGGTGTAACAGCACATCAAATTATAAATAAATTTATTGTATTTGTTTTTTGATCACTGAATAAAAATTATTAATATATCGTGATAATATGCTTACATAAAGTTATTTTACTAAGATTTTTTTTCCTGCTGTTAATAATTCCAAGATATTTGTCTGATATACCTATGCAGTGCATCGGCTACACTAGTCTAGCTACCGTCATACCATTTTATACAAATTTTATTTGGTGGTAGTATCCTTCAAGAGGAAAAAAATTAAATCTTGATATTATATAAGAAAAATTAAGTTTTTTTTAAAGTGTTAGATTAAATTTTTTCAAAAAATAACAAAATTAATATTTCTAACTTTCTATCTAATAATTATGCGCATAAATTAGCTAAATTTAGACCAATAAAATAAACCTTTTTTTTAATAAGAATATTTTTAGAACCATACATGTTCTACAAACAAAACTTTATAAGTAGTTTCATATGACAAAGGTTTTAATGACATCAGATTATAGCGTTTGCACTTTAGCATATATCTATATATTTATATATATATATATATATATATATATATATATATATATATATATATATATATATATATATATATATATATATATATATATATATATATATATATATAAATATATAGATATATGCTAAAGTGCAAACTTTAATACTTTAATATAGAAAAAATTAATTTTCTTTGGTTCAGCACACCACAAATGCAATCTTTAGGCTTTTCTTTTTTTTTTTTTTAATTATAAAAGTAGACATAATAAATAAATGAAAGTTGTTAAATTTGAAGTTTGAAAATATTTTTTTTTGCCTACTTATTGGGGTAGAGACAATTAGTAGAGACAATTTTACATGCAATTTTATTCCTCTCTAAAACTAGAAATCTTTTTCATGTTTCAAACTTTGAAAAGGTTTTAGTTTCAAATGTCTATTCTACAATTTATACGCTATAATCTGATGTCATTAAAACCTTTGTCATTACGTGATGTAATGACAGCCAAACCTTTTTTTATTTCAGAGTATTTTTTTTATAATAAGAAAAAAGTTGTTTTAATAATCAAACTAAGTGCTAAGGGTACCAAATGGGGCAAAAGGGAATATTAAGGGGCTCTAAACCCGTTAAAGAAATTTTTCTTAAATTTTTTTGTTTGTTTTCAAAACATTGTCAAAAAAATAAAAAACAATAAGCAAAATAATCAACAAAACAACAAGAATAACATCAAAAAAATAGAACTTAATTATGTTTCTCTGCCATGGGTACCAAAATTAGGCAATCAATTAAAAAAGATATTTAAAAATACAAGCTATACTCCAGTTTTTATATAACCAAAAAACCTTTAACAATTAATAACTCAAAAAAACAAGCCTCGACATCCAAACAATTCTTATCCAGGAGTCTACAAACTGGAGTGTTCGTCTGGAAAACTCTATGTAGGTGAAACAAAACCCAAGGTTTCAACTCACATTTGCCAACATCAAAAACATACTTTTGAGGGAAAATGGAAAAACTCGATTGTGGCGGGGCATTCCAGAAATTGCCATGGTGGAATAAAATTATTCCTTTGGCTGGAATAAAAACAACACTGTTAAAGTAGACTATTTTAAAAGAAAAGTGAGAGAGTCTTTGGAAATTTAGTATCACCAGTGTTCTCCAAATGAAAGTGGTTTAAATGAAGACGACGGTGATTACGTCACACCGTTGTTTTGAAAACATTATTTTTCTTATTTAAGACGCAAGATCACATTACATTGAAGTTTTATTATTTGATTGTTTTTTTTTAACGGTTTTTTAGTATTACTTGAATAACACGGATATATGTAACCCCTAGAAATTTTGAATTTTATTATAAAGAATTTTATAAGGATAAGTTTACATACTATAACAGATGCTTTAACTTAATTATATTTTATTCAACAGTTAACATCGTCTTTCTTTTTAATGAAAAGTTACAAAATTTACCAGAGGATAGTTTTTCAAAATTTACCTGAAAGTTTTCCGGTAAATGCTACTATCGCAACACGTTGTACTTCTATATTATTTGACTACCATCTGGCAAATACATAGATTCATATATAATTATTAGAGTTGTTCAATCAAGCATCTTAAATAGTCTAAATCTTGCTAATTTTCATAAACTTTTAAAATATTCCAGAAAATTCTAGACAGTTTCAGAGATTTCTAAAAACATCCAGAACAGTCCAGAAAGTTCTAGAAAGTTTCATAAGGTTCAAGAAAATTCAAGGCTTCCGAAAGTCATAACGCTCTAAATGATCAAGTTTGATCAACTTCTCGGCCTTCAGAAACAACTGCCTGCAAATTCTACTTATATACCACAAAAGTGTTGCGGGAGACCTTTTTTGAAAGCTAATCAGAACAAAATTCATTACTTTTGAGCGAAATTCTGCTCAAATAATCTACTCGAACTCAACCTCCTTAAATATAATATTTCTCAATCTTAATTTTCTCAAAATTAATTATTTCAAATTTTATTTCTTAAAACAATCTCTTCCATATTAATCTTTACAAACTTAACCTCCTTAAAATTATTCTTTTTAATCATAAGGGGCCATTAATAACGTCAACAAAAAAGTCTCAAAAAATTTTCTACAATTGTTAACAAGTTAGAGGAGGTCAAAAAAAGTTGATGTCAACAATATTACTTTTTGAATAAATTTAATTACTTACAAAAAAAAAATTATATATTTTTTTTCTATTTTTATTTATTTGGGTGGAGAAGGGGGATAATCAAATGTTGACGTAATTTCATAGGAGGAAATCTCTGGAAATTTGAAAAAATGTTTACAAGGGGTAGATGGAGGGGGGATGAAAACCGCTAAAAAAAAGTTGTTGAAATAATTTATGGACAGCCCCATATCTCCTCTAAACTATTGTCAATTAACAATACCCAAAAAAAGATAAAAAAATAAAAATAAAAAAATAAAAATAAAACAAAAGAAACCGTACTTAAGGTGGAACTACCCTACATTTTTTATTTTTCAAAATATGATATTTTTCTTAAAATGATAAACATTTTTCGATAGTAGTTAAAAAATTGAATATAAAAAATATCATTTTTTTTAATTATTTGTATAAAAAAAATGCTGAGTCAGCAAAAAAAAACAAAAAATGTCACAAGAACATAAATAACTAGAGTAATACTTGAGATAAAAGTTTTAAATTTTACAAACATATAGCTAAATGGTTGGTGGAGGGCCCCTAGTAGAATTTTTTAAAAATACAGAGCAAAAGTAAAATGGCAGATATTACCCTGTAAAAATCATAAAAAATGGTTCGTGGGGTATGTAAAATTTTAAATTCTGGTCGAAATAATAAGTATTTTTTGATTATTTACTACCAGCCCTTTCTACAATATCAATGAACAAGCTGTGAAAATTTCAAAGAAAAATAGTTTCTGAGATATTAATGTTCTAGTTTAAAAATATTTAAAAAATATTATTCTGAGAAAAACAGCTTTTAAAATAAAAAATGTCATTAACTAAAAGAATCTCTAATAAAAAAATATCCAAACTGACCACAAAAATATGATTAACCACCTTTAATATTTTGTTCTGTGTCAAAATAACCTTTTTACTAAACTAACAAAAAAGTTGTGAAAATAGAGCAAACATATAAACAGATATGGTTGCTAAGGCCGTTGCTAGGGATTCGAAAATTACCTTGTTGCCTTTAAATACTAATTTAAGTACTTTATATTAATTTTTAAAGGGAAAAAAAAATTACACTCGTAATTCAGGATGTTCAAACTGTAAAAATTTGAAAAATTTTGTTTTTTGTTTTTTGATGTTTTTAATAGGGTAGTACCACCTTAATGGAAATTAAAACATTAATACTTAATGAGCTGAAAGTTATTTAATTACAATGAAAAAAAATTAGGACCTATTTTGTAGTTTCAATACTGATTCTCATAAACTAAATCTTTTTTGGTACAAAGTAAAATGCATTAGAAAAAGAAAATCGGAGTTTTATTAAAATGTCTACAAATAAAAACGTGGGCCGAATAAAATCACGAAATAATTCAGATCAAAATTATTACAATACACTTTTTACACTGATGAAAATTTTCAAATTTATTAAGTATCAAAGTTTTTGAAAAAGAAAAATTGTTAATATGTAGCATTAATTTAATTTTTTATATTGTAAAATAAAATATGAAACAGTTTTATCATTTAGTTTTTATTTTATTATTACTAGACCATCCAGTTTAAGTATTGGATTCCTTAATATTCAAAAATACTTTGGTGTTTTTTGACTATTCGAATAGAAATTTATTTGTAAATATTTTATTTGATATTCAAATTGTAGGAAAACTCGAGTAGTTGAATTGCCTAATTTTAGAAAACAATCAAGATTGCAATTATTTGTATAATGATTGAACCAGTAATAATATAAATCATGATTGAACTGACCAATAATAAGGTAAATCATGATTAAACTGACCAATAATAAGGTAAATCATGATTGAACTGACCAATAACAATATAAATCATGATTAGACTGACCAATAATAATACTAATAGCAAAATTCAATAATCAATAAAGCAACTTTATTGCAATATGTTTTTCAAAAATATAATAATTTATAAAGCTTATAATAATTTATAAGCTTCAACTTATGTATTTTGTATCTACAAGACCTAATAAAGTTAATTGGAAACCGTCAACAGCTTTTTTAAATCTGAAAAAAATTTGTATAATAAACGCATTTCTGCTGCATGCAACTGTTTTATTGTACCGTGTACCATTAGATTTTTTTGCTGTACAATTTTTTATTTAAATTTGTCTTTGTGCATGCATCCCTTGTAATGCGCTCATAACCTTTTTATAGCGTGTACAAAAATTTTATTCTCGATTTATTTTTAATTCATTTAAATTACACATAACTTGTTTTGAATTGAGCATGCTCATCGATTTCATTGTTAAATTGCGCATGCTCATCAATGTCATTGTTATTTATGAGCTTTATATGAATTAAAAAACAAACTTTTTTTTTGCTGATGTGGTCTGTTGTAATTTCACACCCTACTTGAGTAAAATGCGTTGCCATTGTACGAAACAAAAACTCAAAATAGACACTCATATCATAATTGAGTTTTGATCTAATATGAAGTGTCTTATCTTTTGAAATTTTGTTTCTAATATGTTCATATAAGTCATCCAGTTTTAATCTTTCGTTTAAAGATTCTACTAAATCATTAGCTACCACATTTACCATAAACTTTTCAATAGTTTCATTTGGTTTTGTACTTCTGTTTTCAAGATTCTGAAATGCTCTCGCAATCCTAAGAAGATCATTGTGGTGTTGCTCATCGTCATCTGCAATAGTGGAGTTATATATTGTCTTTTCACTTTTATTGCGTAATAAAAACGTTTGTTCGTTAGAAAAACCATTTGTCGTTTCATAGTTTGCTCCATACTCATAATTTGCGCAACATGAGTTATCTTCCAATCTATGTTGGTTTCTTGGCAATTTCTGCGCATCCAAGGAATTTCGAAGATCTATTCTTTTACTGTCGCACATAAAAGACTTATTCTGATTGTTTTTACCTATATTACTTTTGTTTAACGATGAAATTGTTGGCGCATTGAATGACGAAGACTTTGTTAGAGAACTGCTTGCTTTTACTTTTGACTTTTCTAAACTATCTTTTTGCGGATTCTGTTTTTTTTCAGTTTCATTATGCTGCTTTTTATCAGCTTCAACATCAGGAGATAACAGTTCTTCGTGATTTGATTTTTTATTTTGTTCTAGCGAACTGATTCCTGAAGTTTTTTTATTTTGTTCTAAGGAACTGATTCCTGAGGTTTTTTTAAAAGATGTGCGCGTGTTTGAATGAATTCTTACGTCTGTTGCACTTAGGCTTGATGATCGACTTGAAATTCCTCTTTCAAATGAAAAGCTGGATCGAACATCAAAATTGCTTCCTCCTATTGATCTGTTACCAGGCACATTTCCCATCATTTTTTCTTTTCTTGCAGATTTGAATGCAAACGATTCCATTGATGTACTTTTTTTCATACGACTATTATTGTTTATATAGAGGTCAGTGTTTTGTTTGTTTGATAATGATTCGAACTTATCTTTGACGGATCCAACAACTGATTTTTCGGAATTTTGAGAGTTTGAACAATTCTTTTTTAAATCGTTACTTTTAGGTGATTCTTGATTTTTATTTTCTCCATTATTTTCATTTACACTTTTGCATTTACTATTTTCTTTTTTATCGTCGTCATTCTCAACGCTTTTTTTGTTATCGGTTGTACTTATTTTAGAAAAAGAAGCGGTGACACGCTTTAAAAAACCCAATTTAGATTTGTTTATTGATTCAATGTTAGTATCAGAACAAAACTTTACCTGATCTGAGTTTTTTAAAGTATTTTCATTATTAAATTTTTCTTGTCGGTATTTTGAATTGGGTAGTTGTTTATTTTTTATTAAAAGCTCGCTATCAAATTGTTGTTCACGCTTTTCTTCTTCTGATTGCTTGCCAACATTTTTTAATTCATCACACGAATTGGATATGGTGTTTAAATCTTCATCAAATTTTAAGTTGTCAACGGATTTATTGAGAGTTTTTTCTTTTGTAGAGTTTGTGTTTTCTATAATTTTATCAGTGTTATGGCTAATAACACAACTTTTATCCAATTTATTTTCAATTCCATTTTTAAAAGCTTTAATTTCTCTTATTTGTTCATGATCGCTTTTATTCGAATTTAAAATATTAGCTTCTCTCAAAGCATTTATCCATGCATGTGCTTCAGAATTATTTTTTTCTAAATAAGATTTTAAAACTGGTTCTGTGGTCACACGAACTAGCTCTTCTTTTACAATATCATGTGAACAGTTTTCTAAGTTTACAAATATGATTGAGTGAGCAGCGCTTTGTCTTGTTATAACTTTATGAAAAACTGATTGAATTATGTTAGCAATTTGTCTTTCAGAAACAACTCTTTTATCTTTGATAACTTCAAAATCAAGAAGAAAGTCAATTACATCGCCATAAACAGTAACATCTCCTAAAACAAGAACTCTTATATAAACAAGAAATAATTTATTTATTTATATAAAAGGGAAAAAATGGGTCAGAAAGACTAATATTTGACCAGGGATTTTAAAATACAAGATTTAACACCTTACTTACTTATGTCTTTAACATTTTTACTTCGTAAAAATTTTAAAAATATAAAACATTACACTTATTTAGAAAATAATGCAGATAAATTATCAAAAAAATTGAGCACTTAACAGATCGACCATTTGATAACTACAAATAATCTAAGTACTACAACTCCTACCTCTATAACACTCTAACTATCAAAAACACTCGACGTAAGAAAATTTCCTTACAGTTTCGATTTCAAAAATGGTTATAGAGTGAAGTCAGTTTCAGCTCAAATAATAATTTTAGTGTGAAGTTAGTTTTAGTTTAAAAAATAATTTTAGTGTGGAGTCAGTTTTGGTTCAAATATTAGTTTTAGTGTGGATTCAGTTTCGGGTAAATAATAATTTTAGCATGGAGTCAGTTTCGGTTCAAAATAATTGTTTTAGAGTAAAGCCATTCTAATTCAAATTATGGTTTTAGTATGGAGTCAGTTTTGGTTTAAATTATGGTTTTAGTATGGAGTCAGTTGTACTTCAAACAATAGTTTTAATGTGCAGTCAGTTTTGGTTCAAATAATCTTTTTAGTGTTGATTTGTGTAGTTGTAGATTTGAGATTTGTGTAGTGTAGTTTTGGTTCAAATAATGCGGTAATTTTTAGTTTAAATTATGGGGTAGTAGTGTTTTAGTAGAGCGCTCGCCTCATAAGCAAGTAGTTCCGAGTTTGATTTCCACCACGTTCCTGGTAGTACCGCGCTCAACTTCTTCCTCCGCGCAGCGGCCTTTTTCGTTAAGACTCGTGTTTCGAAGTTATAGAGTTGAGAGAGGGTTGTAACTACAACTACAGTAACCTCCTCGACTCTAGTGGTCTTCATGACCATGGGAGATAAATTCAAATAAAAAATAATAATGGTTAGTGTGAAATCAGTTTCGGTTCAAATAATGATTTTGGTGTAGAATCAGTTTTAGTTCAAATAATGATTTTGGTGTAGAATCAGTTTTAGTTCAAATAATGATTTTGGTGTAGAATCAGTTTTAGTTCAAATAATGATTTTGGTGTAGAATCAGTTTTAGTTCAAATAATGGTTGTAGTGTAGAACAAGTTTGGTTTTAGTGTGCAAATGTTAATCACATATTTTGATCTAATCAAATCTACAAATGTTTATGTATTTATAGTCTTAAATTGTAATCTTAATTTTCAAGTTTAAATGTTCTCAATAACCTAATGATATTTTGTGTGCGTGATTTTAACTATTTTATTGTATAACAATGTACAAACGAATATTTCAGAAAATAACACTGAACAACAAAGCAAACTGAGTCTTGCTCCTTCCCATTAGATTATATTTTTTTAAATACATTTTTTTTACAGTTTTTTTAATCGCAAAATTTAGATCAATTGCGCAAAATTTAGATCAGTTTCCACAAAACACTTCTTGGTGAATGATAAAGCAAAAATTGTTTATCTTTATGCCAATCTTCTCATTTAATTTAAAAAAAAGTTCCTTTAAAGACTACAGCAGGTGCTCAATCATTATCAGGTGCAGGAGGTGCTCTATCATTATAAGGTACAGCATGGGATTCGTCATTATCACGTATAGAAGGTGCTAATTCAGTTACTATAAACACAAGTTTGATAAAAATATTTTTATGCAAAGAATATTTGCAGTTTCAATTTGTGGGTGGGGCAAAACAAAGCAGCAGTTATTCGTCAATTGTAAAGCCCTAAAAAGGATGTAAAACATGCAGGCAATCTATTGCCTAAATATGTTCAGACATTAAACTCTCAAAAAAGTAACATACTTATAAAAATCACACGAACATACACCCATAGACCACAAAAAAACAAACGATAGCTAAAATAAATTTTGTGTGTGTGTGTTTTATTATAAAATAACTCCCCTCTACTCTAACCTATATATTATTAAATTGGTAACTGCTACTAAATTTGAAATTAAACAAAAGATTTTATGGATCATATAAATCATACAAAAAGTGTGATTTATGTGATCCTGAAAAAAGATCTTGAAAATATCGGCTACATTTTTAACGAGCTGGCTTATTAGCAATATGACTATGTAGACCAAACTTAAATATACCATATGTATCAACAGCTTTTCTAATTCTAAGGTTCTATTAACTCATAACTAAAACTGAATTTCATCCCGTTTTGGATGATTATATTTCTTATATAATTTCTTACCCTTTTTTTTTTCATTAAACACTATTAATAGTCGAAGTTATGTTCTAAAAATAAGAACTTCTTTTAATTTATTGTTAAAGTTGATTTTCTAAATAGATAAAATCATCAAACTGTAAACAGCATTGCGAAATGGTAATAATATATTCAATTATATAAGTACTTTTGTTGTCCCGATATGCCCCACAAAAGTCATTTTACTGAAAGCAATACTATTCAAAAAGTTCAATTCTAAATATTTTTTGAAAACCAGATTCTAAAAAAGGATAAAAAATAATGTCTGAAAAATTTAAACTTTTTATAAATAAAGCAAATTCGCAAGAGTTCAAGATAAATCTTTTGTCCCTGCATCGCTTAAGAAAATACGCAAATTTTGTTTTTCGCACACTTACTGATGCATTTTAGTACTTTTAACGTATTTCTAAAATTAATTTTTTTTTTACAATGAGTGTGAGTTTTTAGCTGAGATATAAAACTTCAGGCATAACTGTCCCTTTATGTCCTGCTGTCCCGATTATGCCCCGCTCTAACCTACTTTAATTTGCACGTAAAAAATTATATGTTGCCTTTCTTACTTTATTTGAAAAGTTTCTCTTTGAATTTTTTTACGATTTCTGTTTGCACTATTTAAAAAAACCAGGAGATAATCCTTTATATATTAACATCAATTCCAATCATCTACCAAGCATTATTAAATCAATACCAAAAACGATCTCTAACCGCATCAGTAATATATCTTCAAGCAAAGAAGCTTTTGATAGAGCCGCACCATTTTATAATAACGCTCAATTATCATTTTATAATAACGCATTTTATTATAATGCACCATTTTATAATAACTCTCAATTCTTGTGGATTCAAAGATGAGATCAATTTCATTCAAAATATCCAGAAATATAATACAAAATCTCAAAAAATAAGCATTATCTGGTTTAACCCACCTTATTCACTCAACGTCAGAACAAACGTAGCCAAAATATTTTTGAGTACAACTGATAAATATTTCCCTAAAGGCCACAAATTTCACAAACTTTTTAATTGAAACAACTTTAAGGTTAGTTATAGCTGCCTTCCAAACATCAAGAGTATTATTACTTCTCATAATAAAAAGATATTATTTAATTCTCATGAAAATGACAATCAATTATCCAATTGTCGACAAACCACCTTATGCCAACTAATTATTTAGTTTTCACTATATTTGTTCTACTAATTATATAACACGCTGTATTGAGCACTCTTACTGAAAATATTAACATAATTCCTACAATATATATATATATATATATATATATATATATATATATATATATATATATATATATATATATATATATATATATATATATATATATATATATATATATATATATATATGTATATATATATATATATATATATATATATATATATATATATATATATATATATATATATATACATATATATATATACATATATATATATACATATATATATATACATATATATATATATATATATATATATATATATATATATATATATATATATATATATATATATATATATATATATATATATATATATATATATATATATATATATATATATATATATATATATAATCAGTCATATATATGTTTATATATGACTGATTAAAAGTATATATGTGTGTGTTCCTACTTGCCGAATTTCCATTGTTTGTGCACCCACTGTGTAACAAAATAATCTTTGTGGAGATATCTTTATTTTTTCCGTGAGTGCCTCTCTGGCACTTTTTTCGACGCTAAACATTTTGGCAGTAGAAAGTGTATTGCCGGTAATTTTTGAAAATATTTTATAATCTTGACAAAAATAATTTACGCCGATAAAAAGTTTTTTAACAATGATCCCTGATGGAAATTTTTTTGTCACTTACTTTTTGAAACTTAAATTTTTAATTTTTTAAAACCTACTAAAATAAAATAGAGTTTTGAAACTGTTTATTTTGAGAATAATTGTTTTTTAAAAGTACTTTTCATATTTCAAGAGATGAAGACTAATCGATTGAATGATTAACTTGGCACAATGTATAAAACCAGTCACATGACGTCAATGGCAAAACCAGTCAGATGACGTGGCTAGTAAATGTAAAAGGAATGTAAAAGAAGAAAAAAGTAAAAACAGTGTCGACCACCATATTATTTTTAAATTTATAAAAAACTTTAGTACACAATTAATATAGTATTAAAGTTATTTGATATTTTATTGATTTAAATGTATATTCTTATTTATTAAAAATTGTTTTCTTAAACATTAAAACATTATCATTAAAAGCGATGTGTTAAATTTTGAATAAAAAAGTATTATGTATGACATTTTAAGTTTTAAAAACATTAATATATATAAAAATAAAAAAGGAAAAAAAGAAAGACAAAGAAGATAAATAAAGTTTAACATACTTAAGGAATACCTAAAACCAAGTTAACATACCTAAGGAGTACCTAAAACCAAGTTTAACATACCTAAGGAGTACCTAAAACCAAGTTTAACAGCTTGTTGTATTTGATTATCTAATTTTGTAATTCCTGAAGAAATTGTGTTCTCTGTATCTTGGCGTATTCCATTTGACATCAAGATGTCGTAGCGTTCAATATTGCCAAATGTTACTCGACGATCTGGAGATGATGAGCGTCGTCCGTTCGCTAAAATGGATCCGTTTGTTGCCATCTTTTCAATTATCATTTGTGTATCATATCTGCGTCTTTTTTTTTTTTAAAGTAAGATTTTTTAGTAACTTGCTAACTAAAATAATAAAACATTTTAAACGTGAAAAAAAATAAGTTGTGGTCCTTGCTTTTGCACAATCAAATAATCTACTTCCTATTTATTCAAGCGATATGTTGTAAATTCTTTATATGTTCTTTATATATTCAATACTTTTATGTATTCAATACTTTTATGTATTCAATTCTCTTGCATTAAATTTTAATGCGTTGATTCAATCACTAGGTAATGATTGAATTGACGAATTCATTATAAATATAACGTCTCCATTTTTGTAAAAAGTTTAATTAGACATTGATAACAATGACGAGTGAAGACACTGCTTATAGGATATATAGCGTTCGTAAAATGACAGGCGAAGACACTTTTATAGGATATATAACGTTCGTAAAACAAATTAATCAATTTTTTTAAATATTAATTTATCTGAAAAGTTAAAAGTTAAAAAGTTTGATTATACATTATAAAAAGTTATTTAAATAAAAAATGCGCGATTAATAAGATTTTATATTCTTTTTTGCAAATATTAATTTTAATAAAATGATATCAAAAAGTGGTTTAAATTAATTAATATCAAAGATTAGTTATGATAATAAAAACATGATGAATAATGAAAATAATGAATCGTGAAGATTAATGATGATGTTGATAAAAACTTGAAGAATAATGAAGATAGCGAATGGTAATCACTAATCATAATGATAAAAACTTGATGAAGATAGTAAATTTGTAAAGATACTAACTTGTATCTTTATATATGTATATATATATATATATATATATATATATATATATATATATATATATATATATATATATATATATATATATATATATATATATATATATATATATATATATATATATATATATATATATATATATATATATATATATATATGGGCAATTCCACGCAAGTGACGGTCGTAACATTTGACACTTTATTAGTTATTAAAAGTCAAATAAGAATGATATTGATTTAAATTTTCCAGAAATGTTAAATACTATTATAAAATTTAGTAGACAAAATTTAAAGTATTCAAATCTTCAACTTATTTGAAAAATCGTCTTAACGTAGCGTGACGGTCGTAACGCTTACTTTTTGACAATTCTAAACAAATCAGCTTTGACAATCTTTATGCAGTCATCTACGCGGTGAAAAATAAAATCCTTTGCTGTGTGCATTCACTACATATTAATCTTGCTATATGCCGAGTTTTATAGTTTTTGCTTAATGTTTTACAAGAATTATATTTTTTGTCGTGACGGTCGAAACCGTGACGGTCGTAACGAAAATGCCAATTGTGAAAAACAACTGAATGCGTGGCGCATTTATTGAATTCATTGCAATAAATGGCGTAAAAAAGATGAGTGATTATTAAAACCAAGTAAGTTATGTTAAAATATACACTTTATAACATTATCACTGGGATAACATTGCATTTATAATGGGTATAGTGATACCCAGGTATGACGATGACTGGGTATGATAATGATGACTGGGTATGATCATATTACTTTTATTTGGATTAAGAAAAAAATGCTTAATGCCCTTTTATTCTCCTGTATACTATGACTATGGTTTAAATAATAAAATCGTTTTTAACTTGGTTTAGATAATATAATCGTTTGCGCTTAAACTTTATATAAAGTCAAGAAGCTGTTTTGGAAAAACAAACATGTCGTGATGGTCGTAACGTGCCTAATAACGTTTTGAAAACGGGATCTAAAGCACTATAAAAAAAAAAATTTAAACAATAATAAAATTTGTATTATTATCTTTACTTTAACCATAGTTGTAGTTTTAAAAAGTTTGATACGAAGCATAGAAAAAACTTTTAGACTTTTTTTCGTGACGGTCGTAATGTATTGTTTTCATAAATATATTTTTCTTATAGACCTAGTTAGAGTGCGCTTTTATAAAAAAATATTATGAATAATGTTTAATTTATCCTTTAATTCAAACTTAGAAGTAATAGTTATTAACAAAGCAGCACTGAAACCTTTTTCAACATTTCACAACAGGGCTGTATATAAACGTTAAAAAATGTTTATATAACCCTTATAACTATGTTAAGGATTGATAAAAAGATTTTTTTTGATAATAAAATGTTTATATAAGGTACTTTATAACTATGTTAAGGTATGATAAAAAGATTTTTTTTGATAATTTTTTTCTTAAAGATATTCTTAAATAGTTGAAAAATAAGTTTATTGAGGTTACTATATTTTGGCGTAACATTTTTTTTTCCTTTTTTACGTGGAATTGCCCATATATATATATATATATATATATATATATATATATATATATATATATATATATATATATATATATATATATATATATATATATATATATATATATATATATATATATATATATATATTTATATATATATATATATATATATATATATATGTATATTTACATATATATATGTATATATATATATATATATATATATATATATATATATATATATATATATATATATTATATATATATATATATATATATATATTTACATATATATATGTATATATAAATATATATACATATATATATATATATATATATATATATATATATATATATATATATATATATATATATATATATATATATACATATATATATATATATATATATATATATATATATATATATATATATATATATATATATATATATATATATATATATATATATATATATATATATATATATATATATATATATATATATATATATATATATATATATATATATATATATATAAAGAACACAATGAAAAAAACAGCAGAGTCACATTTTTTACATTTTGAGAAAACCTAAATTAAAGGTTTGAAACCTTTTTATTACAAATTATGTGAGAAACTGTCAATTCTTTTAATTTTTAAGGGAAGGTCATCCATTTAAGCATCAAATTTTAACAAATAAATATTCTGAAAATCATGTTAGCTCATGGAAAATTTTGTTTTTTCAAAATGTGTTCAGATTGGACTCTGCTGTTTTTTCCGTTGATTAGGACTTTGCCTGTTTTTCTATTGTAACACATAAGAAATAACTATATAAAACCATTGAATTTTAAAATTTTTTTATTGTAAACAAATAAAAAAATAAAAAATGCATGAACATTCACTGTTCTTGACCCTCATCTTCAACTTTATCGTCATACGGCAGAGCATCATAGAATGCCTCATTGGTGGTAAATTTTTTGAGGACTTGGAGGTCTTTGTACTTTGCAGCTGATATAACCTGTCTGTCTTCATACAAACCTACTGGCACTGCTGTGCATACTGAAAATTGTTTTTTCTCGTTGGAACAATGATGTTTGTTTTCAAGAAAATACCGTTCCATGAGCCTCTGTGACAAACGGTCCCTGGACCTTCATCCTTGTTAAAAACCATTTCCCGAATGGGGCGCGTGGGGAACGGGCAGCCTTTCTTATACAATGGCCTTAGAAAGCCGGAGAAGTTTTTGACTAGATCCTGTTTAACATCAGTCACGTTAAATGGTGTAGGATGTTTTCGTGCTTCACTAAATGTTTTTATCCAGTCTTCTGGAACACTAGCACTAGACTTTGTATTTACTGGACCCATGTCCCTGTCACACTCCATATAAGAATGTCCACGCTCAGGGAATGTCACTGTCACTGAGGTAAACCTTTTTCTATGGTGCACCATAGAATCTAAAAACCGAATCAGGGTAAAGTTCTTATTCTGTCCTGAGCAGGAATCGCAGAATAGTTCAAGGTGAGTAACCTCTTCGCTGACCTTGGTTGTGATGTGGTCATACAGGAAAGAAGCCACCTCATCTGAACCTTTCCTAGCGACAGTCTTATCATAGCAGTAAAGAAAAACATCATCAGTTGATAGTTGGTGAATGTTAAATGATTGGTATGTGAGCTTTCTGTTGTAGTAAAAGTCATTGGTGGACTTGTTGGGTAGGTTGAGATTTTTTTGGTAGTCAAACGTAAAGGCCTCAAGATGAGGTGTAATTTTGGCCCTTTGCTTAGCGTCTCTTTTTCTCCGGTAGAATGTGTCAGCCTTTCGCTGGTGGAGATCTTTTTGAAATTTTAACTGCTTCAGGTCCCTTATGAGGACTTCATTTGTTGGGTCTGATTCAAGAGTCTTTGTAGCAATTTCTATTTTTGCCAAGAGCTGGTCGCAGGCTGAGCAAGTGTCGGTTCTTGGGTACCCAAAGCCAATGTTAAAATCGTTGTTGAATATAAGCCTGTATGACTCATACACAAAACTGTCTCCTGGCCACTTCTCTTGATATAAATCAAACATCTTGGAGATGCTGAGTTCTTCTGGCAGGTACAGCCGTCTCGTCTTCTCTTGTGAGTAATGAGACTGCCGACCCCTAAACGAAGAGATGTGGTCTTTTATTCTCTGCCGCAGTTCATCAGATATTTTGTGATGACTGCCATGCTTTCCTCGTCCATCAACAGAAGGCAGGCCTGGGGTGAGTAAAAAAAATGAAAAAAAAGTTAAAAAAAAGTTATAAAAATACATGTTCAGAGAATAACAGCACTCTTTATGAATTTCAACACTTCTTTTTAAATATTGAAAAATATTAATATATAGACAAGAAAGGATTATAGAAAAATGTGCATTTTTTTTACATTAACTATGATAAGAAAAAATAGCTTTTTTATTCCACAAACTGAAACAAAAAACTATTGCTAATAGTATAAATTACCTGTAGTAGCAAGACTTCTCTTGATAGTCTCAAGTCTCCCTTTCTTAATTCCAAAGTTGGAGATGAAGGCTTGAAAGCAAACATAGGCAAATGAATCTGGGTCAACATCATCTGTACTCTTCGGGAATACTTTATAGTGATAGCTGTGACTGTTTGCACTTTTAGGCTCTTCCTTTCGAGGTCTTTTTCGGCTAATCTCGGCGACTGTGATCAGTGAAGCAAGATAGGAATTCTGTAAAAAGAAGCAATATAAGATTATTAACGCAACCGGTCACACATCTTTGGAAACACAAGCATTTTTATAAAATTTAAAAATATATAAGCTTACCTACTTTGTTAGAATTAATAAATTTCACTGCTTTGTGCTAGGACCTACTTAGAAAGTTAAA